TTAAGCTGTCACAAGAGCAGCCCTGCTTTGATAACAGTAGCTGCTCAAATTATGGCTTGGTTTAGGGTTTACAAGAATAATGATTCATTTGTGGCACATGAGAATCAATAAAAGGTTGATTTGCATTTCAGCTTTAAAAATGTGGGCACTTTCTTCATTTAATTTGCCACTTAGCTTTTGCTAAGAGGACATTTAAATTGCAATACAAGGCAAATGGGGCTTTTAGTTTAAATGTAGTCTCCATATTTAAATGATCTGTAATTGTGCAGTGTTTGAGTGAGAATGCTATTCTTTCGAAGTGGGCCCTGATGGTGACGTGTGACATTTGTATTCAGGTCCTGTATTATCTATGTGGCTAAAGCGAATTTCATTTCACAGCCAGAAGCCTGCAGAAAACACCTATTAATTTGCAGATCCCATTTGCCAATAAAATTCAGCCTCTTCTCAATGTCTGGCATCTGGCAGTGCTCAACATTTAATTCCAAAGCAGAGCCTCACAGCCATCATGATCCCTGGTCTGGCGCACAAAGACAAATTTTCTCCTTTTATTAAGGATTTTTTTTCATTTTCATAGAGAACAAGAAACTTTTACTTAATTTTTGATGGATGAGTTGTGTAGTAAGATTGCATGGACCATTTTTTCCTCTCTAGACTACAAAGAAGGTTAACTGACCTTTTCTTCAAATCTGAGATCTCAGTTCAACAGGCATCAGAAGATATTTACTGTGCATTTCCATATTCTACCATTTTACCAATGCAATTGAATTAAAAAGACAAACTGAGGGTTTCAGGTAGTTAATCATTCTGATATACTGAAGTCTTCAACCATGGTCACCAAGTTAAACACATTAAGATCAGCATTTGAAATTTACCAACCTAGACACCATTTAAACAGCAACATGAAGAATTCAACCTACACTCTAAACTCTGGCAAACACATCCATGTATTACTGTGGCAAGTTGGAAGTGTTCACCAGTGCATTGCTAAAGCTCATCTAAATTCTTCTAACATGAGAAGTATATGAGCTAATCTTATAGTTTTGACCTGTAATCTTAATCTTTCCAATACTGTTTCTTTGGAGCATTTGGCTCAACCTATTATTTGATGTACAACAGAGGAATCTGCTGAGCATACTTATATTCTTCCTCCTGATCTAGAGGCTTTAAAACACAACAAAATAGCATTGCACGTAACTAGCTAGTTAACTTGAGGCCTTTTAATCAGAATTTCTTATAGAATTAGAACTTTGTATTAGAAAATTGCCAGGCTCATACTTAGATGTGAAATATTTAATTTTGTTTTTCTTTTTTTTAAATCAGCATCTTCAAGCATACAAACCCAATCTGATTTCTACACAATTTACCATAATCTATAATCAACACAGTTTACCATAATCTTCATCAGGAATTCTGATCAGAGCCCAATGTGTCCTTCCAGTTTCCTTGGCAAATGACAGACAGCATCAGGTAAGCTTTAATAAAAGGCTCAAGCAATCCAGTCAAGGAGAAAAGTTGAAGTTATTTAAGTATGCTTAAAAACCTATGCCAAAGTGGAACTGAGAAACTGGCTGAATCCCTAACAGTTGGCAGACAGCACACCAGTGCAAGCAAGCCAGCCTTTATTAAGCAGTCTAGACTTACATAGAATCATAGAATCATAGAATAGTTAGGGTTGGAAAGGACCTTAAGATCATCAAGTTCCAACCCCCCTGCCATGGGCAGGGACACCTTGCTCTAAACCATATTACCCAAGGCCTCGTCCAACATGGCCTTGAACACTGCCAGGGATGAAGCATTCACAACCTCCCTGGACAACCTATTCCAGTGCCTCACTACCCTAACAGGAAAGAATTTCCTCCTTATATCCAATCTAAACTTCCCCTGTTTAAGTTTTAACCCATTACCCCTTGTCCTACCACTACAGTCCCTAATGAAGAGTCCATCCCCAGCATCCCTATATACCCCCCTTAAGATACTGGAAGGCCGCTATGAGGTCTCCACGCAGCCTTCTCTTCTCCAGGCTGAACAGCCCCAACTTTCTCAGCCAATCTTCATATGGGAGGTGCTCCAGTCCCCTGATCATCCTCATGGCCCTCCTCTGCACTTGTTCCAACAGATCCATGTCCTTTTTATGTTGAGGACACCAGAACTGTACACAATACTCCAAGTGAGTTCTCATGAGAGCAGAATAAAGGGGCAGGATCACCTCCTTCGACCTGCTGGTCACGCTCCTTTTGATGCAGCCCAGGATACGGTTGGCTTTCTGGGCTGCAGGCGCACACTGCTGGCTCATGTTCATTTTCTCATTGACCAGCACCCCCAAGTCCTTCTCCGCAGGGCTGCTCTGAATCTCTTCTCTGCCCAGCCTGTAGCTGTGTCTGGGATTGCTCCGACCCAGGTGTAGGACCTTGCACTTGGCATGGTTAAACTTCATGAGGTTGGCATCAGCCCACCTCACAAGCGTGTCAAGGTCCCTCTGGATGGCATTCCTTCCCTCCAGCGTATCAACCGAACCACACAGCTTGGTGTCATCACAGTATCACAGTATCACAGTATGTTAGAGATTGGAAGGGACCTCAAAAGATCATCTAGTCCAATCCCCCTGCCGGAGCAGGAACACCTAGATAAGGTTACACAGGAACGTGTCCAGGTGGGTCTTGAATGTCTTCAAAGAAGGAGATTCCACAACCTCCCTGGGCATCCTGTTCAGTGTACCCTTGAGGCACTCCACTAGTTACAGGCCTCCAACTAGACTCCGCCCCATAGACTACAACTCTCTGGCTTCTCTCCTTCAGCCAGTTCACAGTCCACCTCACTACCCGGTCATCCAGACCACACTTCATCAGTTTGGCCGCAAGGATGCTGTGGGATGCTGCTGTGTCATCTGCAAACTTGCTGAGGGCGCACTCAATCCCACTGTCCATGTCAGCGACGAAGATGTTAAACAAGACCGGTCCCAACACTGATCCCTGAGGGACACCGCTCGTAACTGGTCTCCAGCCAGACATTGAGCCATTGACCACAACTCTTTGTGTGCAGCCATCCAGCCAGTTCTTTATCCACCGAGTGGTCCATTCATCAAATTGATGTCTCTCCAATTTAGAGACAAGAATGTCGTGGGGGACAGTGTCGAGCGCTTTACTTTATATATACTTTATGTATACTTTACATATACTTTATGTATATTTTACATGTCTTAAAAATCTCCATAAGTACATATGTTGTTACGTATCTGTGAAATAATTGAGATCATAGACAAAGCTTTTTTAAAGACACATATATGCCACTCCTGATTACACTGAACAGATAATATGAAAAGTATGCAAATGCATCTCCCACTCCCTTTATTGATAATTTAGTTCTCTGACATCCAGAAGATGACAAGATAGGAAACCAACATTATTTTAGAACCTAACGATACCATCACCCCCTTAAACCCAATGTCTGAATTCTCTGCCACTACTGAAACAGATCAAGGGTTGCCAGGGACATCCTGCTCTTGCTTCTGTAGTTTGCCATTGTAACTCTGGTCTCCCTTAAAACCTCCTTCAACTTTTGCATATTCACATGCATGTTTCACCTGAAAAAGAGATGTGTTTAGCTAGAGTGAATCTCAAGGTGAAATCCTATCAGAAATATGGCAGCAGCTTCTAATTTTCACACAATTTAGGAGTCAAGGTGGAGAGAATCATACAATTAACAAATATTTTCAGGGAACTTGCTAAGCACCAGTGGAAGGAATACTACTGGTGTGGGGAATAAGTAGACAGGTTAGCAACATAAACACAAGCTGGAGGTGAAAGAACTAAGTTCTATCCTTAGCCTATTGCACACCTGAAGTGATTGAAATGTATTTGCAATTGAAACTGTGGTACATAATCGTAGAATCATAGAATAGTTAGGGTTGGAAAGGACCTTAAGATCATCAAGTTCCACCCCCCTGCCATGGGACACCTCGCTCTAAACCATATCACCCAAGGCCTCGTCCAGCCTGGTCTTGAACACTGCCAGGGATGGAGCATTCACAACCTCCCTGGGCAACCTATTCCAGTGCCTCACCACCCTAACAGGAAAGAATTTCCTCCTTATATACAATCTAAACTTCCCCTGTTTAAGATTTAACCCATTACTCCTTGTCCCATCACTACAGTCCCTAATGAAGTGTCCCTCCCCAGCATCCCTATAGGCCCCCTTCAGATACTGGAAGGCTGCTATGAGGTCTCCACACAGGCTTCTCTTCTCCAGGCTGAACAGCCCCAACTTTCTCAGCCGATCTTCATATGGGAGGTGTTCCAGTCCCCTGACTATCCTCATGGCCCTCTTCCGGACTTGTTCCAACAGTTCCATATTTTGATAATGTTAGAGGAGGAATAGCAGTTCAGGACTGAAACAACCGGGTCTGCCTCAGACTGCAAATACAGCAGTTGAGGTAGTGGTGAGGCTGGAAGGTTGCACTGCAGCTTTTTGGGATTGGCAGCTACAATTCTGATTAAATAGAGGTAAAGTAATCAATTTGATTAATATAAAATATTGCTTATTTGATGCCGCAGGCAGAGAGATTCCATCTTCAGATAGGTGGTGTCAAGATGATGTTAATATGAGACTGATGAAACAGGAAGAGTAGCTGCTAAGAAAATTATAACAAAATCTCATGTTTACTGGCAGCATGTGGTAAGACTGCTACAGGTAACAGATGGAGAACATATTTCTGCCTCTCCCACCACTTACCAGCTCAACCCCCATAAGCAATGAATCATGAGACCCTCTATTTTTCAGTATGGTGTAATAAAATTTTGCTGTATACATGTTAAGCTTGGCAAAAAGCATTATTCTCCAGTGAGATAAGGGATCATAAAAGTTACATACTAGGAGTATGTATTACATATGTAGTATGTAGTATTACATACTAAGAATATACCTGAAGGTAAAGTACTTATATCTACATTGACAGAACTGCCTGATCTGACATTAAGGCTATCCACCACAGAAGTCCATAATGCCAACTATAGACAGACAGTGCTTTATTAGCCTAATGCTTCATTTAGAATGAACATAATTTATGCTAACCGGGTCATATCCAGTCAAGCCTACCAGACAACATGCTATCAGTCATGGCTATCTTTAACCTTTAACAGTAGAAAACATAAATTTTGCTTTTGACTTTTCCTCTCTAAATGAAACATGCTATTCTTGCTTGGATTTAATGTCATTTAACTTGGTTTTGGATCTTTAAAGTGTACCAAGAGCATTACTTGTTTTGGCTTTGTTCTCTGTGGTGTCTACATATTGTCCCAAGGGGTGTCATCAGTAAGTTTTGTGTTGTTGTTTTGCTGGGTCTTGGTTGGGGTTTTTTGGGGTGGTGGTGGTGGGGTTGGGAGGTTTTACCAGAACATGTCTCAAGACTTTCCTTTAAGTCTAGACTTGAAGTGTCTTTCCAGATTGAGTGAGAGCACAGGTAACTACTCCAAGTTTCATGAATCACAAAGCAATTCCATTTGGCTGTGTCTTCAACTTGCTTTGAGAAAGCCTCCAAGACAGCATCCAAAACCTTACTATAGATAAGATATATGCATTAATTCCTTTACTCATACACTCAGTGAATTATTTTTTAGAGAAACAAATTAGAATTACCATTGTATTTTAAATATTTAAGGTTTTCTTTTATCACTTTTATCTTCTATATGCTTACATACTTACTGGTTAGTAATTTGTTCCAATACCTTACATCTAGGAAAGCATGCTGGTGGTTACTTAATATTATTCTTTCCACTCACCTACCTACCTTAAAATACTGGTGATATCTACTTTCAAGTTGTTTTAAATTTCCTCTCCCTACCACAAATTCCTACAGATTTTGAGAACTCATGAAGCAGCAGTTCAAAACTGTGTCAGCAAGTTTCTCAAACACTTTAGAGCAAGTGTCTTCAGACTTTACCAGTTTAAATATTCCTTTCCCATTTCAGTCTGTGTTCCTCTCTCCATTGTACAAGTCATATATCTAGTCACAACTGACCTTTCCTGTAGAGCAGTGTTAATTGTTATAGCCCACTCTTAATTGATCTCCTTTCCTGCTCAGTAATGGACTTCTGCTCTCCTTTGTTGCTATCTCCTCACACTCCTAATGATTTTTCTCTTTTTGCCTTCTATTTTTCTCTAGTCGTGAATCGATTTCTCACTTAATCTTTTCAGTTTGTGCTAGTGGCTTATATACTTACCCTCAGTTGTATAGCTACATTTCTACTTTTTGCTTTATTCTTTTTAGATCCTCAGGTACTTACAACCTGTTGTAATCACACTTGTTTCATACCATGCTTCCGCTCCTGCTGTCTCATGTAGTAGATCACAAATTCAATTTCACCCAACCGTAACTGAAGAAGCAAAACTGCAGAAAACTCTGTCTTGCTTTACCTAGTACCACAATAAAGTTTCCTTCCATCCCAAATATGTAATTATTTATTCATTATACAAATGAACACCTAAATGATTTTAAAGTCTATACATTTACCCAGTTCATCCCAGAGCTGCCTATACTTGTCAGTCATTGCATTTCCTTGTTGTCTCCAGTGTGACAGACGAGGGTCAGCCATGAACTGTTCTGTTATCAACATCAACATGCGAGCTCCATTTGAATCTCTCATCTTTAGCATCTCTCGCACCTAGGAAATCAGTCTTTAAATACAAACTTGAAAAAGACAAAGCAAAGCACAGTATAGACAATATTCTGCAGTGTTAAACATTTCACCTCTGTTAAATAAGAAATATAATTTATATACCTGATGTGAAAAAAAAATTAAGTAGAAAAATATAGTCAGGCTTCCCAATTGTAACAATTTTGAGTTTCAGTATCCCATTGCAATTCTGCAACACTCTTCTTCCACAAGTAATCCACAACTGTATTATGCAAGCTGCTGCAAGACCATTTCTACAGGTTTCTTCAACATTTTGTGGGTAGGAAGGAAGAGAACATAAAATCTACAGACAGAGGAAATGCTACTTCATATCCTTAAACTGATCTCAAGACACACCAGATTGTGTAACACTGCTTTATTAACTTTCCATCACATTCCCAAAGGCTTTGTCTTGTTTTAGAACAATGGGACTCTGAGTAAGATGTGAATAAGACTGGCTGGGGGAGTGGGGATAGAGAAAAGATGGAAGGTTTAGAGTACTTAACATACCTTGGAAAAAAGTAAATTGAGCTGCTTTCCTGATCCTTGGTATCCACCATGGGAGAGGAAGAGTTTAACCTGTTCTTGGACCTGTTCCTCATCCAAATGCCAGCAGTTTTCATCATCTATGCTTGCACCTGCTGTTGGGTCAGGAGCACCTGCAAATAGCAAGGAGAAAAATCATTGTTCTATATAAAGAAGAGAGGCTTGTGGGTCCAGGGAAAAGGAGTACTGTAGAGGTTTCTGGATTTCTGCATTGTCCCATTTTGGATGTGTTAAATGTAATCTAAAGGTTCTTTAAAGTAGAAATAAATTTCTCCTCAGTAGTCTTAAACACTTAGAAATGACAGTTTATAAAAAGGTATTTAAATAAATATTTTATAATAAAATATTAAACCCAAGTTTTTTCCTCCCATCTGAGCAGCTATTCTAGAATGCTTTTACAAAGAAAATTAAACTTTAAATAGTACTTCAATAAATTCACTGTTAAAACCACTTTCCCCAAAACACCTGTGTAATTTTTGTACCTTCAGCAATCTTGCACCAGTTTTAAGTGACTGCTACTGAGCATTGCTACTGATCATAGAATCATAGTGTCATAGTTTAAACCCAGCCAATAACTCAGAACCACACTGCCGCTTGCTCACTCCCCCCACTTCTTCCCCCCCCCCCCCGCCACTCTCAGAGGAAAGGGGAAGAGAGCTAAAAGAATGAAAATCCCACGTGTTGACGTAAGAACAGTCCAGTAACTAAGGTATAATTCAAAATGACTACTACCACCAACAGTAATAATAATGATAAGGGGAATAACAAGGGGAGAGAATACAATCGGTCAGCACCCACTGACAGATACCCAGCTTGACCCAAGCAGTGATTTGGGCCTTCCAGGTAACTCCCCCCAGTTTATATACTGGGCATAATGTGCTGTGGTACTGAATACCCCTTTGGCCAGTTTGGGTCAGGTGTCCTGCCTACGCTTATATCACTGCACCAGCTACTAAGAAGGAGAGAAAAGACTGCTACAGCACCCAGGAAAAAAGTGTTGGATTGTTGCCTGCTAATGAAACTGCCAAACTCATCTGGTCACTGCTGAACTTGTCTGGTTTCATCAAAGTTCATTCTTTGTAGGGGTGATAAATGGAGGGAAGTCAGGAAGAGCTGATGGTGACCTGAGGACAGTTCTGCTGTGGCTGCCCACTTTCCCATGACTTTACTGTCTGCTGATGATTATAACAGCACATATATTCTTTTCAGAGGGCAGAGTGGTGGAGATGGGCACCTAGCTGATAGACTATAAAAGTGTTATGTAGTAGGCAACAGCATATAATTGAGTTAATTGACTGTTTTCCCCCAAAACTAAATCCCCTTGAGGTACACATAGGACTTCCCCATATTCCCTCATTACCCATCAAGTATGCACGGGTCCCTGAGCAAAAGCAATCCCATGAGTGGGCTTAGCTTTACCCGAAGCAGGAATAACTCAGAATCTCTTTCCAGCAAACTGGTTTATGTACCACAGGTACTCTGTCCCACTCTACGATATGTAAAAGTTCTCATTGGGATGCACAAGCCCTGTTGGCAGATCCTCTGGTGTTGACCAACCAGGTGGCCTTTGGTATATGTGTATACCATTGTTTGAAAGTCCCACCATCCATTGCTCTCTGTGTAGTTTTTAATAGCCCATTCTACCATTTGATTATCCCAGAGGCTGGTGCATGGTAGAGGATGTGATATACCCACTCAGTGCCATGCTCTTTGGCCCAAGGGTCTATAAGGTTGTTCTGGAAATGAGTCCCGTTGTCTAACACAGGTCTCTCTGGGGTGCCATGTTGACACAAAATCTGTTTCTCAAGGCCCAGGACAGTTTTCCAGTCAGTGCTGTGGGGCACAGCTTTCCAGCCATCTGATGATTGCTTCCACTATGGTAAGCACATGGCACTTGCCTTAATGGGTTGGTGGGAGTGTGATATAGTCAATATGCCAGGCCTCCCCATATTTGTACTTCAGCCGTACTCCTCCATACCAAAGAGCCTTTAACGGTTTTGCTTGCTTAACTGCAACATGTATCACATTTGTGAATAACATGGTGTCCTGGGTTCAGCAATAGCAGTCATTTTTTCTCGTTCTTCGTAGGTGGTGCAGTGCTGTGTTTTTGACTTTATGGCTGGGAACAGCGTTGATAGCACCAATGTTTTTAGTTGTTGCTCCGTAATGTTTACTCTGACCAAGGACTTTTCTGAGTCTCATGCTCTGCCAGGGAGGAGGGGAAGTCAGGAGGAAGCAGAGACAGGACACCCGACCCAAACTAGCAAAAGAGGTATTCCATACCACAGCACGTTATGCCCAGTATATAAACTGGGGGCAGTAACCCAGAAGGGCTAGATCGCTGCTCGGGTCGGTCTGGGTATTGGTCGGCAGGTGGTGAGCGGTTGTATTCACTTCCCTTGTTATTTCCCTTATCGTTATTATTAGTATTGATGGTAGCAGTAGTGGTTTGTGTTATACCTTAGTTACCGGACTGTTTTTATCTCAACCCGTGGGAGTTAAATTCTTTCGATTCCTCTCCCCATCCCTTCAGGAGCGGTAAGAGGAAGGGGGGGTGTAGGTTAAGCCAGTGGCTGTGTGGCTCTGGGTTTCCAGCTGGGCTGAAATCACGAGACATGGGCATTAGTGTCCATTGATAAGTCCACCCCTCCATCACCAGCCCATCTGTATGTTTCATCTCTGCCTTGATGGCCTGATGTGTCAAGGGCCCACAAGGCTATTAACAAGAAATTAACTCATGCTGCAGATCAAAATCCATCTGAGCCACTTCAATCTTAGCAGTTTTAGCTGGTTGTTCTGGTGCTCCTCAGTGGCCTGACTCCTGGGTACATGAGCATCTGCGCGGTGTACCCTCACCACCAGGTTCTGCAACGGGGCAGCAATACCTTCCCACAGTGAAGGAGCCCAGATAGGTTTATCTCTGCGTTGCCAGTTGCTTTGCTTCCATTGCTGCAACCACCCCCACACGGCATCTGCCACAATCCATGAGTATAAAGTACGGGCCCCTATTCTCATTCAGCAATGTCCAAGGCCCTCTGCAAATTGACTCTACTTACCTTCTCCTTCAGAAATTTCTGCAACTTGTTGTAGGAGAATTCATACAGCTGCCTTCCATCTCCGACACTTTCTCACAGTACAGTAGTATCCATCAATAAACAAGGAATATTGCTTTTCACTTTCTGACAGTTCATTATAGGGTGGGGCCTCTTCAGCACGCATCACCTCCTCCTCTGGTGATATCCCAAAATCTTTGCCCTATGGCCAGTCCATTATGACTTTTAGAATGCCTGGACGATTGGGATTTCCTATAAGAGCTCGTTGTGTAATTAGTCCAGCCCACTTCCTCCATGAAGCATCGGTTGCATAATGTGTAGAGGAGACCCTGCCTTTGAACATCCAGCCCAGCACAGGCAACTGGGGTGCCAGGAGGAGCTGTGTTTCAGTGCCCATCACTTCTGAAGCAGCTCAAACCCCTTCATAGGCTGCCAGTATCTCCTTTTCAGTTGGGGCATAGCTGGCCTCAGATCCTTTGGATCCCCAGCTCCAAAAGCTGAGGGGTTAACACCAAGTCTCCCCTGGAGCTTTCTGCCAGAGGCTCCAGGTAGGACCATTTTCCCCAGCTGCAGTGTACAGTACATTTTTCACATCTGGCCTGGTCCAGACTGGTCCAAGGCCTACTGCAGGAACTATGTCGCGTTTAATTTGCTCAAAGGTTTGCTGTTGCTCATTGTTCTTCTGGGTCATGTGATAGAGAGGGCTTACAATCAGAGTAATTTGGGATGTGCATTCTTCAGAACCCCACAACACCTAAGAAGGCTTGTGTTGATTTCTTATTAGTTGGTGGAGACATTGCTGTAATCTTGTTGATCACATCTGTGGGGATCTGGCAGTGTCCATCTTGGCATTTTATTCCCCAAAATCAAATCTCCTCTGTGGGTCCCTTGAAATTTCTCAATTTTATGAGAAAACCAGCCTTCAGCAGGATTTGGATTATTTTCCTCCCTTTCTTAAAAACCTCTTCTGCCGTATCAACCCACATGATAATGTCATCAATGTATTACAGTTGTTCTGGAGCTTGCCCCTGTTCCGGTGCAGTGTGGATCAGTCCATGGCAGATGGTAGGGCTGTTTTTCCACCCCTGGGGCACTCAGTTCCAAGTGAACTGGACACCTCTCCAAGCAAAAGCAAACTGTGGCCTGCACTATGCTGCCAAAAGAATTGAGAAAAATGCATTGGCAATATCAATTGTGCCATCACACTTGGCTGCCTTTGACTCCAGTTCATACTGAAGTTCTAGCATGTCCGGTACGGCAGCACTCAAAGGTGGTGTGACTTCATTCAGGCCACGATAGTCTACTGTTAGTCTCCACTCTCCGTTAGACTTTCGCCCTGGCCGTATGTGGCTATTAAAGGGCGAGCGGGTCCTGCTGATCACTCCCTGACTCTCCAGTCTATGGATCAGCTGATGGATCAGAATCAGAGAGTCTCGGTTGATGCGATATTGCCGCCAGTGCACTGTTGTGGTCGCAATTGGCACTTGTTGTTCTTCGACTTTCAGCAGCCCCACAACAGAAGGATCCTCTGAGAGACCAGGCAAGGTGGACAGCTGCTCAATTTCCTCAGTCTCCAAAGCAGCAATACCAAAAGCCCATCGGTACCCTTTTGGGTCTTTGAAGTACCCTCTCCTGAGGTAGTCTATGCCAAGGATGCACGGAGCCTCTGGACCAGTCACAATAGGGTGCTTTTGCCATTCTCTCCCAGTCAGGCTGATTTCAGCCTCCAGTACAGTCAACTCTTGGGATCCTCCTGTCACTCCAGAAATATAGATAGGTTCCACCCCTTGACAGCTCGATGGCATCAGGGTACACTGTGCACTGGTATCTACTAGAGCCTTATACTTCTGTGGGACTGATGTGCGAGTCCATCTGATCCACACAGTCCAGTAAATCCGATTGTCCCCTACCTCCACCTGGCTGGAGGCAGGGCCCCTCTAATAGTCATCACAGGATTGGACGCTTAAGTCATGTTGAAAGGGATTATTCTTCTTTATCACAGGAGCTGGAGTAAAATCAGCTCTTCCACTCCACCTGGGAAACTGCTCACCAGAGACTGAAGCCGTAGCTCTCATGGGACGATCAGTCTTGGCCTTTGCTCCTCTTTTCAATTCACTCACCCGTTCCTCCAAAACTGAAGTAGGTTTTCCATCCCAC